AGTGATTCAAAAGTATTTTGGGAAAGTATGCCTAAAGAAACATGGGAAAACAATCCTTTTTTCTGAAGTTTCTTCAAGTAGAAGAACAGTTTTAAGCAACTGTATGTAAAAAGTGAAATAGCATATGGAGTATATTGTGGGAGATGGAAAAAGGCCAATGAAATTACATTCATTTGGACTATTTTTCAAATACATTTTATTTAATTTACTTGCGACCATTAAAAGAAAGTAAGTTATTTCCATACATTCTGTGCGGTTTATATGCCTTACAATACTTTCTCCCTGAAACAATTTGCCTGGGCTAAACTCAAAGCAAAATACTCTCTCCTTTCAATGTTTGTGACACAAGGTACAATACTGAAGTAAGTGTTATGTAGATGACAAGTACGAAGCAGGAAGGGAAATGCTTCCCAAAGTAAAAACAGAAATAGGGAGGAGAATGTAATTAAAAGACAAAAATAAATTTATCAGCTTACACAATGCTGATTATCCAGAAAATACAAGACTTAAGTTTACTTTTTCCTAAGCATTTTATACTAAATTGATTCCAGCCAATTCTTTAAAAGCATATGTTAACTGTTTAATTGTGTGACAAAACTGTTTCTCGTAATTATTTTTTACTGAAACTATATTATTTACATATTTTAAGCATTGTAGTTTCTATCAAACATAGCATCACAGTTAACTTGAATTTCAACTCTTATCTGCTGCAAACTGCAAAGGTAAGCAGAACACTTACAGAATACTAATCTTAAAAAGCCATTAAATAGCCACCTGTAAAATACATACTTAGAAAGTGTTACCACATATCAGGCATATGGCCAACTGAGCCAAAACTTGGTTATCTTAAAATTGAAGGATCAAGAGTCTAATAAAGAAAGAGAAACATGGTCAAGTTATATTCTGTCTTAACGAATGTATTTGGAAACCATAAAATAAATTATTTGCCTTTAAGGATCCACTTCACAACATCATTTTATTGGAAAGGAAGAAGTACTGCCATAGGAACTACTATAGAAGCCCATCCACTCCTAAATGAGCTTGTAGAAGAGAAAAGAAAATGAACCAAGTATAAAGGTAGGAATGTTGTCCTTCTATTACACTATCTAAAACTCCACCTCACTTTATCTTTAGAAGTTCTCATTATCCATATCTAGTCCACCATAAAAAAAACAGACACTGGGTGGAATAGAAAGGAACAAATTTCTACTTACCACCTGTTAAATTTCAGCAACTACTTTATTATAATTTTAGCCATTAAGTTACTCAGTTAAGGAAAAGCAATTAAAAAGAACATAGTTTGCTAAATCAAATTAGTTAAGTGGAGAAGGGTTTTCTCTAGCTCTACAGTGAGCTCCCAAATATAGATGTACTCTATTCGATATAAGGAAAACAGACAGCTTGTGCAAACGCTTCTGGAGATAGCCTTTCCGTTTGGGTGCACTGTAGTCACTGAGTTCTGCATCTCACAAAACCTTTAAAATCTTTTAGGACTCCACCCTTCTATGCAAGGTTGCAATAAAAGCAATTCGGGTTAAGTACCCCCCACTCTATGTCTCAATAAGAGTACTACATTTTAATATGGAGCAGTTCTCTGACTTTGCACTTAAGCTATGTATTCTGTGTGAGAGGTGGAAAGATTAAAAAAAGCAATTGGTACAAAGATAACAATGAAATTATTTTCTCCATCTTCCCCAGCTTCATTCACATTGAACATTTACATGATGCAAACACAGAAGCTATAGCATACCACACCAGTCACCATAAAATAAGAAGTCCAACTAAATTCAGCAAAGAAATTAAGAAATTTTCTAGTTTTGTCTGGACAGAGCTATCATCTCTTTTTTCCATTTACACTGAAATTCTGTGAGATTATTCAATTGAATCAGGTTGCTTGGGGGCAGATTAGCAGAGACAACACAGTGGCACACTTATTAAATCCTGCCAAGATTTTTTGTTTTTGTTTTTGTTTTTTTACTAGGTTCCAAATTTGACCAGTATGCTTCAGAAAAGAAGCTCAGCATATAATTGCTCTTTCACTTGAAGGATAGAGAAAAATAAACATGTTTTGAAGAGACACAAATCCTAAACAGCTATGCAAATAACAACAACCTTCTGTTGTTGAGTTAGCCATGCAACATTAATTTTTTCCTCCTATGTCCTTTGTCCCATTTATTAATTGCAGCTTTTGCTTATTACCATGACATAATCAGCACTTCAAAGACAGGAAAGGGTCTATTTTTCTGTGAAATGTCTAGCATATTCAACAATCAGAACATAAATTCTCCTTTCTCTGTCTCTGCTCAGCAGTCTGGTAACAGAGTTACTTAGCAACAGATGAAGCAGCTGAACTGTGTTGCCTGATCCACACACATTTCACTGCAAAGTAACACTCACAAGGGCATTATTTAGCTGATGGTTGCCTCTGCCTAGATGTATTTTTGAAGTGTAAAATCCATTAGTGTGAGGCAAGCCCATATGAAAACTCAACCATCATGTACTATCAGTAATGCATTACACATTTTGAAATTAACAGAAATTACCTGTAAGAGTCACATACATGATTCTCAGCATCTCAGAGAAATGAATAAACAAGAAAATACAAAACACAAGAATACACAAGACTATATTATTTACATGGATGCCACAGCAGTTGCTTAAATGGGGAGGATAAGAATCCTCTTTCTAGCATACTGACAATGTACAAACTTCAAATATGCAGACCAAGCTCTTGTACATCACGTACACTTTTCTTACCACAGAATATTTTGATTTCAGAGAATGAATATACGTTCATTTTGAAAACACACGCAAACACGTGTGTTCCCCAGATCATGACCTTCACCAGAGGAGTGGGAAGTAATATATGCCACGCCAAATACTAAGGAGATTTGTCAGAAGGGAGAAAAGCAACCCACAGAAGAATTTGACGAACCATTTGCAATTATTATCCCCTTTTAAGGCAATTCCACGACTAAACAATCCCTGTATTTTTAATTTATTTTGGACTGCGAAAGTTTCTATTTTACAACTGCATGAGAACTTAAGTGTTGTCTTGGTTCATCACTGCTGGAAAGACTCGAAAGTCTCTTGCCTTGAGCAAGGGGAAAGCACAGCAGCTTCTTCAGCTTTGTCATCTACTGGCATTGTTCAGGTGTTATTTTATTCTAAGGATTCAATACCCTGGAGTTCATAACAGCTTCAAAATTTATTTCATGCATACATGTGAAGATTTATGGAGCTGAATTTTAATTTTACAGAGCTATATCGTGTCTGTCCTAAGGCTTTTTCTTCCCCCTGAAAATTAAGGATGAGCAGGAATTTAAGTACAATTAGATACTAAGAAAATAAAGTACATTCATGAAAAGCTAGGCAAAAATTCAGTTTTGGTAAGTCACTAGACAAATTACCAGGAGGGAGAAAATTCAGAGAAATTTGCTATTCATTTGACAGCAAATATTTTTAACTTATTTGCAATTAAAAATCAGTGTTATGTTTTCAACAATGAAGGCAATCAAGCAGTGTGCAAGTTAAGAGCACATTTCACAATTTTCTTAAAAAGAATTAAGATACTTCCTATGTTCCATTTCAACCAGGAACTTTGATGACATTTCAGATATTAAAACCACAAAGTCTTAAGTGCTAATAACTTCTTAGGTTACATTTCACACTACAAAGAGAATAAAAACTTAAGTGACAAGAAGTCTAAGATACATCTACTAGGAAAGCTAAGTTAAAACCTTGCCTCCATATTCTCCAATGATCAAGTTCTTATGCAGTATTTAAACATACTGCATTCTTAATTACAATTAAGCCATTTTTCACATACAATTATGCAAATCTTAAAGGTTTTCTTCTTCCTTTCAAAGATAAATAATTTTAATTAACCCATCTTTCTCTTTCCAGAGAAGGAAGAACAATATTTTTCCTTCCAGACTTCTCAGATAATTTATTTTTCTTTTACATATTTAAAGCTTTTTATGTATTAAGGTAAGTATTAGAAGGACTAATTTTGTCAGTATTCAAGATTGTGTTTCAATACAGGAGGATGGATGTGCCCTCTTTCTGCATTTAAACTATACAGAAATCTCAGTTTAAGTCTCTATCTCCTATTTTTCAACCTTCTACAATTCTGATCAAAACCGGTAACTGGCTGCCTTTTCCTTACTTTGTTGATTTGAGAATAGTTTATACTGAAAAAAAAAATCTCAAGCATTAGCATCTCTATCTATTTGAAGCCAAATATCAAATGATGCTTGAATACACGGTATGCTGTTTTCTTACAAACACAATTTATTCGTTCCAGTTCAGCACTTTTGAAACAAAGGTAATAACCAGGATGTTAGCTGACAGTTAAAAATTCAACTGCAAGCAAGTTTTACTACTTTTTTGCAAGAAACAAATTTTAAAAATAAAATAAAGATTAAAAAAAAAAACAGGTCAGTGTTCTGCTATACCATTTACAAGCCACTCTCTTTCTACATTAGAAACCATCACTTCAGAGACGGCTTAGAATTAGGACACAAGATTATTCTATTGCTCCTCAACAACTTCCTTCTACTAGCACAGGCACACTACTCTATCCTGATGAGAAAGTGGCGTATTTCAAGAAAATATTATCAGAGTGTATCACTTGTAATCAAGAATCTGAGCTCCAAAAATCTTTTAGCTTTTTGCACTTTTTACTGCACTTCTGTAAATAAAATAAGTATTCCATATGAACTAAGTATTTTCCTATACAAACCACCTATCTCCAAAACAATTACTCTTGAAACACCGTGTTAAAAACAAGAAGTTAATACATTTAGCTTAACTTGTACTCTGCTTCACTTTCTGAGCCATCTCTGTAGAACTGCATTTTTCAAAGCCAGATACATTTTTTAAGCAACTCACTCAGAAAAAGCAGCAATTTTAAAGAAAATTTATAAAAGATAAAGAGCAAGAGAAAGCTTTGACAATCAAAATGCATAGGGAAGAAAAAAATCACGATTGGTACTTACTAATTTGTTTTCTTGCATATATATTCTTTGCAGCTTCAGACAGCCTTTAGCTATAATGATCATTCCTTCATCTGAGATCTTGTAACATTGCCCAAAATGTATGTCTTTCAATTCCCTGCATTTTGAACCGAGCTGCAATTAATGAAATCAAAAGGGGAAAAAAACAATTAATGAAAACAAAGAGAAAAAAAGCAACAGAATTCGACTAAAACGAAGAGCAGGGAGAAAAGATGTTTTTTTCTGCTTCTCTACCTCCCATTAAAAATTATCTTCCTTTTCAGACTTTGAAACACTACATGCAAACAAGAAAAATTTTAATTATGTACATAACAAAATAAAGTTGCTAACTACAGTCAACAAAATGGAGCTCAGAGCAGCACATAAGAACTAAGTTATTTACCATGGGTAGGTAGCTAACAATGAATGCCTTTATGCTAACAGCTTATCTGAGTTACCCTAATTATGCTCCTTTAACACACTCAGAGAGTTGAGGAAACCTTCCTGCACATCTAGAAAAGATCTTAGTCACCTTCAGCATTCATGAAGCAAAAACAAGTTACTTAAACACAGGTTTTGAAAAGCAACCAAGCTCAGGAAAATTGAATCCAACAGAAGTGAAGTACAGGATGTCAAACTGAAGATTTAACTACAAAAGCAAACATGCAATCCCTGGGTATTAAAAAGAAAAAAAAAAAAAAAGTATACATAGTCTCTAGAGAATAGCATTTACAACACCAAAAAAAAGTCTCCATACACCAAAATTCAAAATAGAAGATTTTTTTTTGTGATTTTACTTAAATCCTAAGAAAGGGTATCTTCTTTTACTTACTAAACTGCACTATAGCAAGTTTACAGAAGGAATTTGTGGAATGGATGGTTACCTGCTTCAGGCCTTCATCAGTGAGTCTGTCTTGATTGCCCACATGCACTTTCTGTAGAAGAGGACACTGAGAGGCAACTGCAATAATAGAGGTGTCAGAAAGCTGTTTACATCTGTAGGCAGTATACCTTAGGAGCCCAGGACATTTAATTGCTAATATGCATACTCCTGTATCAGATACATTGCGACAATCAGAAATATTGATCTCAGTAATATTCTGGCTTCTTGATGCTATTTTTTCCAACAGCTCATCAGTGACCTGCAAAGAAAAAACAAATACATAAAACTTTTTCCGTAAAGATCTTTAATATCATTAGGACAAAAATCACTGTTTCTAGGATGCATTTCCATGAGCTATAGCAAAAATGAAACTACCTCCCTTATAAATAGTACCTATGGCTGAATATGTTACTGTAATTGGGTCTTTTGGGGGGGGTGGGGGAGGCTGATGGTTTTGATGCAATATTGGTAATTGAGGGAAAGCCAGTTCTGACAGACTACATAGACTGTAGCCAGACAGTTCCATGATAAAGCTCACATGGGGAGCAACAACAGCTAGACAAGTACAGAAAATATGGGCACCTGCAGGAATTTACATCACTACATAAAAGAATCTCAAATGGCTGCCCAACTTGACAGAAGTTCACAAGTATCAGACAGCTCCAGAGTTAGGAGGGTAACCAAAGACCTGCTTCTCTTCTTAGCCATGAATAGAATATCTGTGATGTCCAGGTATTAGAAAGATAAATTACTTGTTGGTAGAATTGCCTTATTAAGGTTTAGGGCTTGATGTGCTTCAATGAGCTCAGTTCCTAGGGGAGGTTAACAAAGCTGTTCTACTGACAGTGTAGAAAAGAATGCAGAATTCACAGACCACAATGACATTTGGCAGAACTTCTTAGACAAGGAAGAAACTAACAAAGCCAGCTCAGCAACTGTGTTGAATCAACTCCAACTCAGTAAAAGGCGATTCTGGCAAGGGGAGATGGCAAACACCACAGACCACCAACTCAAGAAACCTACCAGAAAGACTGACTATGTGGAATAATTAGCATAAGAATTGCAGGAATCACTTAATCAACAGAAGGTAGAATACTAAGTAATAACAGAACTATGTAACTTGTAGCCAACAAACATTACTCCTTTGTTTACTGAAATGTATGCGATTTCATATTGATAATTTCTGCCCTAAGGCAAATGTGTTAACCTTCATTCTATTATGTTTGCTACTTGTAGTAATACTGTACGGAAGGGCAGTGTTTCAATGTCTTAAAACTTTTTTCGTTTTAATATACTAGCAGGTATGGTCGATTTAATCAAAGGGAGGACTGAGGAATACACTCAGTACACGTCGCTCAGGGTGCAGCTGCAGTGGAGCTCAGGCTGAGCTCCCCATGGCACAGCCAGAGACAAAGGCCATGAACTGGTGCTGACCCTTTGCACAACAAAGGGCACAGAGACCTGTGGCACAGCCAGGTACTTGGCTGAGAGGGACACTTGGAAATACAGCAGGAGCCAAGGGGTATTAGAGCACAGATGTCCTTTTGTTGGGGTCACTCCTCCTCCAGCCTGAGGTGTTATTCTGCTGTTGCACAATGATTATATTATTTTAAGGATCCAGAGGTCTGAGACTCTGCTGTGGGAAGCCTGAAGTCAAGGCAGCAAGGAAAAACGGGCTGACTGGGGTGTGCAGGGAGCTGAGCAGGGCATCCATCACTCCTTGGGACCACTGCCAAAGAGGGGCTTCAGTCCCAAGCAGGTGGTGCCAGTGTGGCTCAGAGAGTTTCATTAACACCCTTGTAAAAAAATATTCCATCCATTTTGTATCTATACACACTGTAGGTAGCCAAAATGACAATAATGTTAAAAGAAGACAATCCTACAAAGAACTATTGAGAAATACTTATCCATCACTTGGCACAGACGAGACTGAGCTTTAACCAAAGAGGGCAAGAAAGCAACACGAATCCCTTTTGATTTTTGTCTTACACAGTTGAGGAACAGTCTTTGCTGCATTCAATACGGTTTTCATTTCTAGTGAGTCAGATCTGTTTTCTTGCTCTTTCATCAGGCAGAGGCTAAGATGGAAAAGAATTGGGCTGGTTTTGCCTGGGGTAGAAGTAATTTTCTTCACAGTGACTAGTGACTGTGTTTTGGATTTGTGCTGGCTTTCTTATTGCCGAACAGGGATTGCACAGTGCCAAGGCTTTTTCTGCTTTTCGCCTGGTCACGCTGGCAAACAGGCTGGGAGGGAACACTGCCAGGACAGGTAACCCCCAGCTGACTAAAGAGATATTCCAGAGTATGTGCCATCAGACTCAGTGTATAAAGCAAGTGGAAGAAGGAGGAAGGGGGAGACATTTCCAGTGGCTGGGTTTATCTTCTCAAGTCATTGTTTTGTGTGATGGGGCCCTGCTCTGCTGGGGATGCCTGAGCACCTGCCAGCCTATAGAATTGATTCACTGCTTCCTTTCTCTTGCTTGTAGGTGCGTGCAACTTTTGCTTTCACTATTGAACTATCTTTAAACTCATAAGTTTTGTAGCTTTTATTCTTCCCATTCTCTCCCCAGCCCTACTGGTGGAAGAGTGAGGAAGGGGCTGCCTGTGCTTTGGCTGCTGTCTGGCCCAAACTACAACAATGACAAACTGTAAAGAAAAAAATCCTTCTACAAATGCAACCATCCAGTTGTTATCTCTCTGTACCCTGTATTTTCATGAAACTCTCAATATACTCTCAAGATACTGTTTATAAACCCCTGCAAGTCACTACTCGACAAGAAGCCCAAGGGCAGTGGCCAAACAATGCTGACATCCCTAAAGCTTTCCAAGGAGGGAAGTTACCCTGTACAATTTAAGGCTAGGCTCACTAAATTAAACCCACAAATATTTCAAAAAGCCCAAAACAAACAGTCTCTTTTCTGATGAGTAGGAGCCATACCAGCTGAAGAACGAAATAAAGAAAATAAATTTGTTAAAACAAACAGAGCAGGCACCACATATGTGACCATCCTTCCAACTACAGCATGCTCATAAATGCTCGTGTTTCTCTTTGAATTAGTAAGAGGTCCTATAGTTCCAGACCATGGAGTTGAGACAGGTAACCTACCACCCACTTCAAACAGCACTTGTGCTCACATTGTTCAACAACTGATCTCAGACAAAATATACTATACTTAAAGGAACCAATCTAAAGTTCCAGACATTTCCAGCTAATAGCAGAAAAATCAGTGAAACTACAGGTATCACCATTTTATGTTTCTTTTGTTTACCGCGGTCAAAAGTACAAGAAAAAATTCTGAGTCGTGAAAATAATTATATTATTCCACAATGATATTTTCATACCTGCTGACGACTGCTGAGATCCAGTTGCTTCCAAAACTGAAAATCTAAACAGAGGTCACGCCAATATTTACAGACTAATGACACTGAAAGGCAACGTTCATTCAGAGACAAGTTGGAAAATATCTGTAAAGAAAGCAAAAAAAACCTGTCAGGTATAATCATATTTTAGAGAGAGAAATATTTTATTACCAATTCATCTTGTAAAAAAGTACAGAAAATACAGAAAAGTATTAGCATATATTGTAACACAGATTACTTGCCCCACACTTCATTAGTCAGAGACAATAACAAAAATACCTACATCCTACAAAAACTGACAATATTAGTAAGTCATATTAGCATAACCAACAATAGAATAGGACTTAAGTACTAATTTTGCAGACTAAGTTTTAAAAGTGCTTCTAAGATGACACAACTAAAGAATTATTAATTAGCTCAGTGTTATTTGCAAGTCATTTAAAAAGTGCATCCATCCCCATCCTGAAATGGATGGGAAACTTTTTCTTTTTTAACTGAACTGGTAAGAAGAGTCATAATGGTATTAAAACATCTAGTCTTGTGCAAAAAGGGCACGGCTTGGTAGAATAGATCAGCAGAGTAAATCAGTGTCACAGAAGAGAACTGAAGCAAAAAAAAATTAGCCTTTTATACTCCAAGGTTTTGAGCACTATAGCAGCAAGCAAAAAAGAATAAATTAACTTTATAGCAAGATCATAAATTGCTACAGCATGTGTTACATTCACCCCTTTCTTAAAACTACTGATGTTTATTAATAAATATAAAAAGGGGGTCTGTCAAGAGTTCACATGAAGGTACCCTGTCAGCACAAATGAACTTAAATCTACATGTGATCCTATAATGAGAAAAGGCAGTAGTGGGATTATACCTACACAGCAGTACAGACTGCAAAACATGAAAACGTCCTCCCACTGATCTGAGGACAAGCACTAAACAGAAGTACTATTGCCAGTTTTCTCAAGAAAATATGAAAATACTGGAGAGTGGCTACAGGAAAGAAAAAAAAAAGAATAATGAAGCATTGAACTATAATGGTAACTTACAGAACTTAGGTCATTGGCGGTCTTTGGAACAGATAAAACAATGAACTGTCAAGAATAACAACCATAACTGTACCCCTTATTCTAGGGGATGGCTAACCCCAGCAGTTTTAAATATGTATATCCCTACAAGACCCCTTGATGAAGCAGAGTTCTAAGGAGAGAAGAGTGGGTCAAATTCATGATACTCTGTACATACTTGCAAGATTTATCATTCTCCTCTTTTTCTAGCTATGAGAAACTTGTAATCTCTTACACAAGACTCCTCAGTGTTGAAGGATTGTGTGTGAACCCCATTTCCCCGCAGGCCTTTGCCTGGCCATTACCAGAGTCATTCTGCTTCTCAATAGGCAGCCAGTTAAACACAGCAGACAGAAGTGCAAGCAAAACAATCACTGCCTCCTTTCCTCCCTACAGCTCCTCTCCGTACTGGTGAACCCACGTGCAGAGGGAGGTGGCTGCAATCAGGACTCAAAAAATACCATCACCCTCGGTCAAGCAGAAAGTACTGAAGTGGTAATCTGGCATCTGGCATTTCCTCCAAAAGTGTAATTATAACATTAGAAAAAGTGACAGTCTGATGATGCTCAGCAATTCTAAGTTAGTAAGACTAGCAGGAAACTTAAAGTCCTGCTACTGGCATGAAACAGAAGACTGAACCTCTTAACAGCTATAAAAACCTTGGAAGAGAACAAAGTAACATGATCCACATTATGTTTAGACAGATATTTGACTGATTCCAATTAATATTAACAAAGGATATCAAGGTTGGCATTACAAAATACTTCAACTAATCTTTACTCAAGTGGGAAATAAATACGTTTATTTGTGGAAATACCACCTTTGAGAAACAAAAGCCTGCAGTTCTGAAGAACACAGTAAAGACTGTTGCTAACACAGCTGCCACTGTTAAAATGAAAGCACATAAATAATTTTTGTATTTTATTTTGTTTATCCTGGCTTGGCACAGCTATGTTTTGAGAGTATGGAGCTTCTCTGAGAAGGTGCTAGAATCTTCCCTCATGTCTTACAGAGCTAGTGTCAGCTAGCACCCCAGATGGACCCACACTAGCCAAGGCTAAGACAGTCGGTGATGGCAGTAGCACCTCTGGGATAACGTAAGAAGGAGGAAAAAAAAGTCATCAAGAAAAAGCAAGTTGCTACCAGAGATGGAGTGAGAAGATGTGATGAAGAAGGAGCAGCAGAAACAAGGTATGATGAATTCACTGTAACCTTTATTCTGGTCCTCCTGAATGGCTAGGGGAAGGAGGTAGATAATTGTGAATGCAGTTAGGCCAAGGAAGGATACAAGGGTTAGGAAAGATGAAGATTTTACTTCTCATTATCCTACTCTCATTTGATTGGTAATAAATTCAACCAATTTCCCCAAGATCAGTCTGTTTTGCCCATGACAATAACCACTGAGTGATCTCTCCCTGTCCTTAATTCATTACTCTTTCCGCATTTTTTCTCTCATCAGTCAAGGAGGGGAGTGTCAGGGCTTTGGAGAGGAACCTGGTGTCCAGCCAGGATCAACCCACCACACTACCATCCCACCAAAACCTAAAAGCCCTCACTGCTAACCTGTTTCTCCTGCATGAAACAGCTGTAGCAACAACAAACCAGTAACAAAAAAAGTACTTGATTAAGTACTTGACACAAACAGTACTGCTGTATAGAAAATGCTCTGCAAAATGTCCAAAAGCATTTGTAGTCATGTTTTAGTCCATGCTGTACTTAAGTCTAGAAGCAGAGACAATTATGGAGTACAGGGGTGGCAAATCAACTTCTTAGAAAACAGTAAGTGAGGCCACTAGGCCGAGAAGAGAGGCTGAGCCATTGCAGAAGCCCCAGCATGCACAGGACTAGCCATGTAACTTACACAACCAGTATGTGTTCAAAAACAAGGCCTTGCCAGTTTTATTAGCTGTAGTAGCTCTGAAAGTTCCAGCTATAAAAGAATGCTGAATAATGCCATGTAAAACAAGAGCTTCTCTTTAGAACTTGCAATTGTTAAAAGATTATATATTGAATTACACTAAATGGAATTTAGTAGCAAGGACTATACACATTCCAGGTGGTGGCACATCACCCTTACATTAAGGGATTAGCTGAGCTACTGATTAAAATACTACACGAGTGCATAAAATGCTTTGACTCACTTTGATGACTTCACCACCCTTTAATTCAGCATTACTCTCTAGATATACACTGATATTGTGGCAGCTTAAGGGTCCTGACTTAAATTTTCTAATTCCCAAGGATGTATAAATACAGCTGAAAGCTAAAACTATTCATACCCACAAGCCTGTTCATTTAACTCCTGCTTATGACTGATAACTTGGATGGCAATGGTTCTACTAGTTAGCACATTTAATTCCTGAAAATTGTATTCAAATACGCACACTTTCATATCCACCATTCAATTTGTTCCTCAACTCTGTCTAATCCCTCTTCCAAACACCAAAATATCCTTTAGCGCTGTAAAGGGGAAAAAAAAAAAAAAAGTTGAATAGCTTTTTCTAGAATCATTTTACATTATTTTCCCTGTTGGCAAAAGGCAGCAATAGAGGAAGCAGAGTTCTGGAAAAGAAGCTCCCTCTCTCTCATCTCACCCTCTTTCAGCTCAAATTCCTAATGCACATGTCAGTTCCTCCTGCTTCACCCTTTCCTGTCATTGTTAAGATTAGTGGGTTTCTCTTTCCCTTCAATGGCTGCAAGAGACTCTCTAAGCCTTCAGGCTACATCCCATTTAAGGATACCTGATCTTTCTCACTGATGGTCTTATCATACCTTCCAGGCACAGTAAATTCTTTAACACAAGCTCTTGTTTTGAAGTAAAACTCGTCATAGAGACTCATTAAAGACCATTAATGCCTTCCTTGCCTCAGTCTTTAATAGCAAGACTGGTTGCTCTCCAGATACCCAGCCCACTGAACGGGAAGACAGGGACAGGGAGCAGAATAAAATCCCCCCATAATCTAAGGGGGAATGGTCAGTTACCAGCTACACCACTTAAGACCCACACAAGTCTACGGGGCAAAACGGGATACATGGGCCCTAAGGGAGCTGGTGGAAATGCTCACCAAGTCACTTTCCATTATTTACAAGCAGTCCTGGCTGCTAACAGGAGCATCTCCAGTTGACTGACTGCTGCCAGATGTGATGTTCATCTACATGAAAGGCTCGAAGGAGGATCCAGGGAACTGCCTGTCAGTCAGACCTTGGTCCTGGACAAGGGTAAGGAGCAGATCATCTCAAGTGCTGTTACGTGGCACACACAGGACAACCAGGAGTCCGGCCCAGCCAGCATGGGTTTGTGAAAGGCAGGTCCTGCTTGACCAACCTGGTCTCCTCTCATGTGGAGGCACAAGTATCCTGTGGGAAAGCTGTGTGAGAATACGGGGCTTTCCCAAGGGCTGGCCTGGGAGCAGAGGTTTTCCCAGAAACAAAGGCACCTGCTACTGTTTACAGAGTGTGTATTTTGAGAAATCTGTTGTTTATTATGAAAACATCTATGCAAGAGGTGTTGCTTGCTCTGACGAATGAGCTATATTCTGTTCTGGGGTTAGCAAGGGAGTGTACTTAAGGAAGGTAATCTTACAATAAAGTGAATCTTTCTTATCTTGAGAGGAGACCATGTTGCTGTGTGTTTTATTATGGCTGTTCCAACAGCTAATCCTGAATTAACAGCAACATTCCCATGACTAGGCAAACTGCATGGGGGAGTAAGAGAAAGGCTGTGAATTTTGTCTACCTGGAATTTAGTAAAGTCTTTGACACAGTTTGCTTTGACACAGCATTCTCCTGGAGAAACTGCTCATGGCTTGCATGGGCGTACTCCAGAAACAGCGTGGCGGCAGCAGGACCGTGATCATTCCCCTGTGCTGGGCACTGCTGAAGCCACACCTCAACACTGTGGTCAGCTTTGAGTCCCTCACTACAAGAAAAACCCTGAGGTGCTAGTGTGTATGTCCAGAGGAGACGGGAAAGGGTCTGGAGCACAAGTCTGATGGGGAGCAGCTGAGGGTTTTCAGCCTTGACAAAAGGAGGCTCGGGGGAACC